ACACTAAGTTTTTTCCATGTGCAACTTTATTTATTTCGATTTTTTTCTCAAACGGTACAATGATTGTGCTCTTCGCTCATATATGTATACGGGAGAATAGGAAAAATATCAATCTAGACGTATTAGAATGTATTAGAAAAATCTAAATAAAGAATGTATGATAAAGTGAGGGAATACTTCACTATGTAATGTTATAAACTACTTAATATACTGTGGATGTTTACGACACTTTAGAAATACTGATAATTTACTGTACCAACGTTGGAAAAGTACTCAACAGACTATGTTCACTTACTTTTGATTGATTTGAAACATATATGCTCAAATTTTGAGAAATACTCCAGGTGGTATATATACCACGCCCGTCCCGAAAGGGTTAAGTTAGCGGTTTGAGAAGTTCTGTACGTTCGTTTTGAAGCTGAGAATAAAGTCTTCTATCTTCAATTTTAATTGTATCTTGTGAATTTATTAGATCTAACGTGTGAAGTGCATCCATTTTCACCAGATTTAACGAAGACTATCCAGTTGTTAGCTTCCCACTACTTGTTAATCTTACAAATACTCGAAAAAGTAAAGACCGTGCTTCTATTCGCTATAATGAAGTTATTTTATGCATGGCATAATAATGTACAAATAAAAGTTGCACAAGAACATCAATAGCTTTTTGTGTACTGTACCGTTTTCCAGTTGCTTTTCTAAAATGAAATAAAAAGATAAAAAACAAAATAAGTTGCACTTAAAATGGTGGATTGCTATTGTCATTCTTCATATAAATAGTGAAAATACCTTTGAGGATTTTTAAATCCCCGATATATCGCCATAAATGTGTTGATAATAGTACATATTGCGACATCTTGATTGTTTATCGCGATAAATTCTGCGTCGCGATCTATCGGACGGTTCTGATAGATCGCGATGTAAGTTATTACCGCGTTATCTCTATAGTTTATCACGGTACAAAACAATGTTTCGTTCGCCCGCGATAAATATTTATCGATCAACATCGCGATATCGTTTCGTATTGCGCTAAATTGTAGAAATATTCGAATAGAAGAAGTAGTTGATAATCAAAGAGAAGGTATAATGATTATGTCGATTCCATCTTCAGGATTACATGTTCTCGAATATGTTCTTTTTTCTTTTTTTATTTAAAATAAATAAAGTTTAAACTAAACTAATTCTCGTAACGATAACTAGTGCCACTTACAAAAGAAACTAGTAACTATCCTTACTCTTAGTCACTGTGAAAGTTCCTCTGTAGTTTATTCTTGAGTGTTTTTCCAAGGTGCTTCAGCTACTTTTGGGTTACTTTTGAGAATAACTTGAAACTGCCCAAGCGAATAAAAAGTATCGAGTATTGGGCAATCCTATCTAGGTAATCCAATTCAATACTCAATATACCTAGATACAGGCAAAAAAAAAGTATTGAGTATTGGACCAACCAAGCTAGCTAACCCAATAGAGTAGTCAATATACCTACACTGTAATCTTGAATTAATTTCCAGTTTATAGAACATCGACCGAAAAATCGCAGGGCATTTTCTAGTTTATAGAAATTCCTCGACGAATTTCCAGCTTTCTAGGAAATGTTGATTTTCTACTTTATAGAAAATCGACTTGATTTTCCATAAACTCGATTTTCTATAAAGGTGGAGAATCGCTGAGGATTTTCTATTTGCGAAATTTTGGTAGGAAGGTCCGAAAATCGGAGACGTTCACCAGAAATTTCTCAAAAGCATGAGCGGGATCAATCCCCATACAACATGGTCGCGCCGCCACTCGGTGCAGATCCGTCAAGGAATTTTCAGTTTATAGAATTATAGAAAATCAAAAGAAATTTCTACTTTCTTGCAAATTATTTATGAAAATTTTCAACGGCGATTTTCTAACAAACTAGAAATTCCTCGGGGAATTCTCATAGGTGCTCTCTGAAATTCGCCCAGCATTTTCTATAAATAATTTCCAACCGTACAGTGTAGATAACCCAATACCAAACCCGATATATCTAGCTTGCCGAATATATTACTCAATATATCGACGGTCAGATTATTTACCTTGTGGTTTTGCAGCCACAGCATCTATGTATGTAACACATATACTCCATAAATTTACAAAGTTTTTATTCATATCAAGTAAATAGATACAGCAATAATAGACCCAATATATTACAGAAAGCAGGATGTGTGCATATATACATCCTGGGGTGCAATATAGACAGTGTCCTTCATGCTATCAATGCATGAGTCGATATATTGCGCTATAACTAGACTTTTCTTGCATCCGAATATATTGAGATGCACTAGATGCCATGCCCATCTAGATAACCCAATAAAAGTGACACCTATACCTATACCTATTTTTGTATCTGCAAATTTCCGATTTTTTAACCCAACCTAGTCTAATTTTCAGCCAACAATTTAGTTGAAGAATGTAAATAGATTAGGGTTTTTTCATTACTAATATGGTAGAATCCCAATTATTTTTATCAAAAACCTTATCTTCACGTTTTCCTTTATTATAGGTTAGATAAAGTTGAGTAGGTATTCAGTTTCTAATTTCCTTCCTACCAGTACACGATGAAAATCGGTTTTTTCCTCTCAATACACAATGTAAGATATAAAATAAGAACGGTACCACAAACATCATTGTCATTATTAAAAAGATTCTTTACATGGATGTTCCAGGCGTGTCGTACCGCATTCTGTATTTCACATAGATCTTCGAGCTGCCAGGTAAAATTCTATGACCTATATTACTGTCAGAATCCCGAGTCAATTTTTTGATAGTTTTGCGTAGGTCAACCCATGACATATCCTAAAACTGATTGTAGAAATATGTTGCTCATGAGCTCAGGTAGATTTCGTTCAAGCTCGAAGGATAGATGGTTTTTTTTTTTATATAAGCTTTATTCTGTCAGAATACAAGCGAAAGAATATTCCATTATAGTATTCTAAACTAAAACTATCTACAAACCCAAAATCAATTTTTGTACGAATAGAGATTCGAACATGTGAACTTAGCTTTGTAGTAAACTACAAAACTAAATTCACCGTTCTGTATCTATATTCTGTACAATGATTGAAGTTGTGCAATCAACTCGATGTTATCAGTATAGATTGGGCTTCGATTCAGGTAGATTTGATCCAAGCTCGAGTGATGGAGTTTGGAGTGGCGCATTCTCAGACCGAGTAACTCAACGAAGCCCGCATTACTCATTAGCACAATCCCTAGGGGCGTCAAACAAAGGCAACTATGGTTCTAATTCAGGCGGACTTACATTCGTCAGTCCTATTGGTAAGAAAGAACGAAACAAATACAACTCTTATTTTTGGTGTTCACTTGGGGCTAGCTCTACGTTTTGCTGAGCCGATATACATTTTTAATAAATGTGATCATCATTATTCCGAGGTTTAAAGATCAGTTCTAAGCCTGTCAGACTCAAGGAAGTTGAAATAATCCTATTTTTACTGTAGAGTGAGTAAACGGTTTAGTAACAAAAGATTTTTACAAAAACTTTAATGAACGGATCGATTTTAAACTGATCTGGTCAAAAGAATTTTAAAGCAGCCTTTACAAATGCATAATACACACCTGATTCTAAATTAAACCTACATCAGTCTATATACAGGTTTTAATGCTCGATTTTGAATGGCTTGTTAAGTTAATGTTTTACTTTTCTCTTAAATTTAAAAATTAACTTTTTCGAAATTATACACCTAAAAATTAATCATTTTCTTCAAACTCTTTTTACTTCTTCTATAGATAAATGTTTTCTTTTGCAAGATTCTTCCTCGAACCCCATGTTTGTATTTTTTTTGCCGTTACTATCTAACGAAAACATGTGATACTTGGTGAAGAAAAGAAAAATTTTAGAAACCTGGAAAGAAGTTGTCATAAAACTTTGATATTTTATGCACGAGTTGAATAAGCGTGACTTTGACTTTGTTAGCTTTGTCAAACTTCTCCTAACTTATTTCTCGAAGAGAAAGAAAAGATGATGAAGTTTCGTTCTCTTCAAAAGAACTGATGATACAGTTCAGTTCCTTTGAAGAGAGCTGTTGCTACTGTTCAGTTCATATCAAAAGAAGTGTTGGTGCAGCTCTTTTGAACAGTTCATCAGTTCATTCGAACTTGAACTGTTACAGGTCTATACAGGAGTAGTTTCCACAAGAGCTACGTTGATAAGTCTATTTTATTTTATAAAGGTATGTCGAGTGGTGGTAAAATAGCAATGGAAATTGAGAAATTAGCCGAGTCAAAATCAACGGGACGTTGCGCTGCTGTGTCACGGGAGGCTATTGAACAAGCTCTGGGTAAGTGAGAAGCCCAACTGTGAGACAAGGGATTATGCTATAAAACCTCTACGTGTTTCTTTGATTTATATGTAGGCATATCGATACCGCGGACGAACAGCGCCAAAGATTATGGACCAAAATTAGAAGCTGTTGGATTTCGCGAAGTTACTGATGGTCAAAACCGACCGGGCGATGTACGAGTAATTCAGTCTATCGAGGGTCATCCACATGGACACATGCAGATCTATACAAACAAAGGTTGGATGTCGGACTTCAAGCAACGAGATGAATGGCCTGGTGAAGCCTATCGCAATGCAAAGCCGAATTATAAACAATATCGCTTAGGCGATTAAATTACCTGCGTTTTCATCGATCTTCCTTGTGAACTGCATCATAATTATTCTAATTTTATTAATCTTTTGATAAGTTCTCTTGCTTTAAAGATGCATAGATTCAAATTTTTCTTTACCTATAACCTACTAGATGATAAAGTAACGTTTTTCCTTCGTCTTATTCGCATAAGAGGTATGTTTGTGACGAATAAAAGGCTGAATATTTGGAAAGTAAAAAGGAATCAATTTATAGCTAATGCTGACAGCGGGTTTGCCACTCTTAATTTCATTGGAGAAAAAGTGCAGGCTAATCTGCTAGAGTCCGAACATTGTGCGATTAAAGATCACACCTTGTTAATCTTTTATATTTCAGCGAAAAAATGGGTGCGACACACGAAATATGAAAGGTTTCTAGTAACGGTATGAGTGTAGACTTTTCCAAACACCTTGGAGCGTTGACTTTCTTCCGACAAGTCATGATTCGATTAAGTGCGTTTGATTCACACCTTGATTTAGTTATATTTAATAATTTTCTTCGGTTAGCTGTATTTCTCACAAATCTTAGCAAGCTGCTCTTCTCATATGGCTGGATAGAGCATTTATTTCCCTATCGAACTATTTCTCTATTTTCAGTGTAATTTCTTTCTCAGCTCGGCCGTAAGCTTAATTCTAAAATATTCTTTTTGCATGGACATATCTAGCTGAAAACTAAATTAGATTGCCGCGCGAATGATTTCAGATTGAGATGTTGCATCAAAACTATGCTTGTGCAAAGCATTGAACGAATAAACAATCTGTTGAGCACATCCGTAAGATTAGGAATATGACTAAGTTTCCTAATAATAATTCACAATAAAAATAAAAGAAAGTATAGAACTGCTGTAAATGTACTGCACGGAAACTTTTCTACGATGATCATGTATCTCCGGAGTGTAAAAGTATCCCTCGATTTCATAAAAAAAAAGTGACAAACCGAACAATGGTGATTTTTGGATTTGATGATTTTTCTGTATTTAATAAGTAATCTCTAGAAATAGATAGATGTAAATTAGTGAATCTTGTATTCGTTGTAAGTTTTCTTTTTCTGCCTAATTTAAATGTAGAGTTAAGTGTCCTCTTCACAACATAATTTTTGTACTTTTCAAACACTGAACCCCTTTGTATCAATAAACCCGTTTCACCATCCAATCCTAAGAAACTTTGGGGCAAGGTTACATGCCGTCTTCGGGGTGAAAATGCACGTTTTTTAAAATTTGATTTTGGTGGTACTCATTTTCCTCTCAGAAATATTGTTGTCATAATAAACACATGGGACATTTTATTCATAATCTGTATAATATTCGTCATCCAGCATGTCATTAATACAGCAACAAAACATTTTTTTTCTCATGTCTGCATCCTTAGAGAAGTTTTTCAAATATTTTCATTCAAATTGAGTATTGAACTGAAAATTTTTATGATAGGATATGGTCCCAAAGCGGAAAAGACATCGCCGCAGCTCCTTTGGTTACTAATATCTCTCGACTCGAATACGCTCTTCCATATACGGCTTCTTATACCTCCTAGTGTCTCAGTGGCGTTTTCCTTCCTTAGGATTCCCCACATCATCAGTGCTTATACCCTTTATTCAACTTGAAATAAATCTCATTTTCGATTTTTCACTAAATGTCCACCTGGATGTACATTGTTCCTCTATTTATTAGCCTACTTCCTCTGTTTCTGACATCGTAAAAGAGTCTTTTATTGAATACAAACTTAGTTGGAATACAAGTGAAGTATCAATTATACCAAATTCCTAATCAAGTGCAACTGTCCAATCTGATAAGGATTTATGAACTCCGCACTTATCGCAGCAGAGAGACCTTATGTTTAGTTAGTACTTGGGCACTTGTGAAATTGAAAAACAGCAGGTAGACATAGAATTTACATAGGATTCTTTTGTTCTGCAACAAAGCTCTAGGGCAAAGTTATATGTAACTGTCACGTTCAAAGACTAACAGCAAAGGTCAAACTAGTAGCTTCTCATGTCTATGTACAGTAGAAAGTGTACATTTCTTCGAAAAAAATGATATAGTGTGATTCTTAGTTAGACAACGATCCTTTGCTTCGTGTGTCATCGCGAATTATACAATGTTTTGTAACTCTAAAACAGAAGCAAAAGAAATTGAAAATACAAACGAATAAAAAAGTTAAAAGTAATTTGTGGCTGTTGAATAAACTACAATGTCTACTGGGTATTAGACAATGAATCTTGTTTCTAACATGCTGTACAAGATGAGGGCAAACGTAGGCATCACAATTAGTGTGAACTACCGATATGCATTTGGATATAACTGTAATTATTGATCATAAGATTTGCTGTAGTCGATTCGATAATAAGAATATATCTGAAAAGAAAGCTTTAGGAGAGAATATGTTTACTAGTTCGCTAAGTGACTGTCTAAAGCAGTCTCTCAACAGCTGTTCTTGTGAGTAAAACGTATATCTACGTATATATTACTTAACACACTTAACACATTGAGATTCTGGTAGTAGACATTTCAGGCTATCTTTTCATGTGCTTATCTCAAAACCGATTTTTTGACCGAAAATTACCATTTCTGAGGGGAGGAGCCCTTCATGCAACAAGATAAGCTATTGCACGATCTCAATGTCTATTAGAAATGTAAGAGGGAATTATACTAACACTCTTTCTGTCGAAATTGTTCATGCTTCAAACACAAATGTGGCTATATTGTGAAAAATGCGATCCGCAAAATTGTGTTTTTTTATGATACAGCGTCGCGGCGCGTCTCCCGTGCAAATCCTATTCACCGCTTTTGTTTTGCTTATCCACCTGGTATATATAACTCTCACAGATTTTTCGAAAAATTTTCAAAATCGTATTACATCTTAATAATAGCTTAGGACATGACTAATATAGGCTCGCGTAGTCACGCGCACGCCATTCGTCTGCGTTCGCGGTGAAAGTAGCGTAGCTCATTTATTGATATTCACCGGAAAACGCGAATAAACAGTATCTATAGTAAAATACTTGAGAGTCATCGATTTTTCTATGAGCGTGAAAAAATCGCAATCGCTAAAAATCGAGTCTTATTTCGCGAGTCTTACAGTGAACGCGTTACGCGATCCTGCCGGAGACTCATCCTTTAAAGAGACTCGTGTCGCGACATGCGATAAGAAAGTGGACTTGGGACACCTATGCACAAGGCGAAGTCCAAAGTTTTTTTCCTGCAACACAAGATTGCCCTGGACTCAATCAAATCAAAATCAATTCTCATTATCAATCGATCTCATTGCAAGGATAAGAAAACACTGAATCTTGTAAAACGTTTTCTACCTGAATAGTTAAAAGGCAAGAAGTTGATTAACATAACGATTGGTACGTGCTAGAACATCCTGTAGTATGTTGAAGCGGATAATACAAATATGATCAATGATGTTTTTTCAGGAGCGTGTAATAACAATCACTACTTGTGGCTGATACTACTGCTTTTCGTCGAATTAAACTAGTCAAAAAAAGTAATCGTCGACTTAAAATTAATTCAAAACGGTGTTATGAGATAACTATTTTGTATTTTCTAGCCATTGAAGTTTGAATTTTATTATACATCATGAGTACAGATACAATTGTACAATAAGATAACAATGCTTCCATAATGTAAGATTGTAACAAAGACTGTCTACAAGACAAGCCGTTTGAGAATTTTGTAGATGTTTTAGATTTAACACTAAATACATTTGGCTGTCTGACTACGTACCAAAGGTACAAAAAAGTGTATGTATTGGCTAACCGCAAGCAACGTAAGAAACTTTCTAAGAACTGTGGAAACGTTCATTGGAACAACATTTTTTCAAACTATTCGGCTTTAATTAAGTAAAGAGTGGCGTTCGATGCGTTCTCCTTTGAATTCATTTAATTCATGCATTATATACAATCAAATCTTTTGATTTTGATTTGTATCTATGTGTAGGAAGACGGATACTGGAATATTTTACCTTGAACGGTTTCAGAAGTTTTCGACATAATATTATTGATATTAATACTAATCCTGGCGTCCGCAAGCTACAGAGAATTATTGAACAGATTGCAAGAAAGATACTCATCATACTGACTAATAATTATTGTGATCTCTGTTATATTTAGTGCATAAAAATTAAGTTTCGAATTAGGCTATATCAAAAGATATAAACACCATATGATCTGAATTAGATTGTGTATACACCATATGATCTGATTATTTTTTACTTTAACTAGTTTTTTGCGACAGAAAAGAAGAGATATATGTATTTTTTGGCATAATGGATTTACTTTCCTATAATTACATAAAAAATTAATACTAATTAAACAGTCTAATATATAGGAATTTACTTTCTATTGGTTTGGAAAAGGTATACAATTAATTTATTAGTCGACGTTAAATCTGAATAAGTTGTTGCTGTTGCTTTTCAGTGTATACATACTCAATATTTTGAATCATTTTGATTTTTACGTTTAAACAATATGGATAGCCAAGATGACTTAGTTGTCTTACACGGTATTCTGCTATTTATTTATTTATAGCTTCCTCAAATCAGTCAGAAACTCAAGAATTATATACATCCGTCATCTATGTTGTACTAGGTGTTATTCATACTACAAATATTGACAAGATATCTGTTTAGTATATGTGCTATTGCTTGAGCCATGTTTTCTGTGTTCATCTTTTAACACGACAATATTCGTTGAACATGACCCTTTATATAGTGCATCAATAAACGATAGTGACTGATCGAGAACAAATGTGGATTCAAACGTTACAATCAGTACTCAATCGCGAACTTTAATAACTATACACTGCTACTGTATCGTGATACTGAACTGCATTTCTTTTTTTATTCTTTGACATACAAACTAATTTTTGTCTCATTTATTAGTCAACATTGCAGATATATAGCGCTTAAGAACAAGTTTGTCATTATTTACACAACCCACTTTCGTATTGGTATATTGTAGGGGCTTTGTGTGTCTTATCTCGCAAAACAAACATTCAAGGCACATTAAGGGAAGACCTTTGCTTGATTTTTTGCCCTCGAAACTATTCCATGCTTACACTGTCAAAAAAAGTGTCGTAATAAACTATCCTGGTGGCTTCAAAATGCATTCACCACACGTAATGAAGGCACGTTAGGTGCATTTTCTCACCTTTTTTACTGTTAGTCGTTCTGAAGTCCTGACAAAACACTTCTTAATTACTACTTTTTTTGATGAAAATAGTTTAGGGGCTTGCGATAGGCATCACTAACGCATCAAAAAGTCACAAGGCACTAGCTACGGTCAAAACACTTAGTTGCCATCAGCCACGGATAAATGCTTGCCAACACAAATGATACTGGTAAGAGTTCAGTGAGGCAACTGCAGCCGATCTATTAATATTCATAATATCCTTTCCTGGCATGCATAGTAATGCCGGCAATGGCTGCCAGCAGAAGAATTCACGTTAGGAGCTAATCTGAAATAGAACTGCCTGTGCTAATGTTTTCATTCGATTGTGTAGTGGAACGTCTATCTTATCTATGAATTAATTTTCGAAAGTCAATGCTTTGCTATTTTAGCAAAGAGTTGAAAACAAAATCTGTATAGATCTATACACAATTTTCTCTATTTTAGTAAAACAATCTCACGATATTGAAGTTTTCAATTTAACAGATTATGTCGATAAAAACGGTAGGTTGCCCATTCGCTGCCCAATACATTTACTTAGATGTATCTAGAAGTTAAAAATCCCATAACTAAATTAATAATTAAGTTTTATTTTCTTAACCTATCTATATCCAAGAAGAGAAACTAGCATTCTTTCTACCTATTTCTTCATCTTAGACAGACTTATTCAGCTCTTTTCTGCATGTTTTTGGTTGCAGTCCGCTTTTATCAGGTATCCCAGAGTATTTAACGCATCCTGGATGCTTTATCAACATTGGGATGTCCTACTTTATGCATCAGAAATGTATCTGATTTACATAGGAGAATACATCCAAGATGCCTTGCCTACCCAGGTCAAACAAATCGTATACGATCGTATATGAATCAGACAAAATCGTACCAAATCATATGAAAATCATATATGAATCGTGATATCTGATTTGTCCTCTGGATGGTATAACACGATCGTACAAGATCATATACGATCATACAACTTCGTATAAAATCGTATAGTACGAACCAGATGACAAATCAGATGCTACGATTCGTATGTAAATCGTACATACGTATATGATTTCGTACGATTCGTATACGATCTTGTATAATCGGATAGTACGATTCAATCACCTGGGTAAACATCCACGATATCTCACGAAGACACTATGGGTGCATAAAATTGGGATCCAGGCGCCTTCGTAAGGCATCGTGACGTGTACTTTTACATGAAAATATCTTATTGATCAAAAAGGAGGTTGACTCTAACGCGCTTAAAGTACATTTATTTTTAAAAAATGCACCTCTTTTTTCACAGTACACTTCTGCATGCGCTTGACGATGTGCTTTCGAATGTAACATTTGTTTTGACTGGAAAAGATAGTTTTTTGAAAAATCTGTTCTAAAGTTCAGGAAAGAAAATGTTAATTTATCCTAGTTTAATAAAAGGATTAGTTTTGTTTTCTCTATAAGAGCTATCTGTTTTCATATACTTTCGAAAATATCAGAAGCTATCGAAGGTAAAAGCGTTCGCCTAGCTATAACTCCCCACATCGGTCAGCAATTGGTAATTACGTTTTTCATTCTTTCCCAGCCACTGATGCATCCTTTTCGTAGATAATCGTGACTCGAAAAGCGGACAGAAATCCAAAAAGCGTGGTAGACGTGAGAACCTTCGGAGTAATTCGAGGGATATGAATGACTTGACCAGGTCGCGTCGAGGTTTGAACAGAGTACCTTTAAAGTACATGACCAACAGAATAACGCTCGCGAAGTAAAAATAAGATTTTAACAGCATGTTAAAATCTTATTTTTACTTCGATTATTATCCATCAAAAATACGAATATATAACGTTCGCGCTCCTAACCCTAGTAGCATTCCCGCTTCGTTTCGCAGCAAGAATACAGCTTCATCTTGCCGCGATTTTGACAAGAAATTGAAACTTAACGCGGGATCCATACCGCGAGCTTACCTAATCTTGCTATTTTTCCCGTGTAACGAAAATTTGACAATCTTGACGCGAAAATTGTTTGACGGGATCGCGCTGAAATCCTGCAAAGATTGCAGCGGGATCCGGACAAGATCGTACCAAGATCCCGGTATGATTAGAACAAGGTTGCAGGAAGACTGAGAAAGCTTTCCTACTACTTATCTGATTGTCGCTACATTCTTTCGATGTTTTAATCTCTTTTCCACCAAATTTTATCATGTTTTACTCGGTATTTTCTTCGAGAACATGAAGTAATTAGAGATTTTCTCCTAGAACACCTTCGGAGTACACAGCAATTTATTTGCTTTGTTTTGAGTTATAAGCTCCATTTCATTTCAATGTCACAAAGTTGAACTATTATTAATTTACTCATCTAAAGTGTGATATTATTTTTGCCGGTGAGAAGTTTCATCTCAGATGTATCTTTAGCTTCTTCATTGGTGTATTTTTTAGTTCTGATCCGAAACGTTACTGCCATTGGATCTCAGAATAGAACTGAGAAGGACTATCTTTGTGTTTCATCTGTGAGTTGAGCCAATAAGGTAACGTTTGCCGTATGTGAAGAAAACATTCACTCTTGAACTTCCAGTGAATGTGTATCTGTAGATACTTGACACTCGGATCAGTTCGTTGCTAGAGCCAATCTAGCGTCCTATTATTGAGGTGCTCTGGCTGTGTCCTTATCCTCTGTGCATCAAATAGGATCGAAATGATCGCTGCTACATTCTGAAAGACTCAAACGTCAAAGCGATCTTACACCGAGGTAACCACAATGTGTGATACTTCAACCTTGTGCATTTCTCTCGCTGTTATGACTTTTCATTCTGAGATCTCTGCACAGTCAACACATTTAACTGAACCTACACACCGGAGAAGACTTTAGATTTAATGCATTGTCCGAGAAAGAATATTCTCTTTCGATTCTAAAACTGTCAAGAAGAAAATAGTTCAACCTTGAGACAAAAACTTAATTTTCCTCTCCAAATGCTCTTCTCTCTCGAAAATTGCTGTGTACTTACTGATGACAGTAGTCAAACAGTTAGTCTATTTTCATTAACTACAACAAAACCCAAAAAACGCTCGGAGAAAAACACTCGTTGCACTGCGTTAAAAAGTTAAGAAATGACTATAACTGACTTGTATTGTATATCTACTACATATGTTAAAAGAGAACAAAGGATAAACATAGTGGATGATAATATACAGACACTGTCTGTTTTTCTTCTTCTATCGACGGATTAAGATCGTTTGAAATAAGTCTTATTGTTCATAAGTGCACACTATGGGAAATAAAACATATGTCCTTAGGATATATACTGTGTGGGCAAGTCATCAATTTTTTGATATTATTCCGACTATATTTATCATCACATTAGTGGCGGCGCCAGAGCAGGGCTAGGGCGGGCTGTGCCCAACCACCCAAAAATTTGAAAACAGAGTCGTGATTAGCAATAGTTACGTAAAAATTCTGAACGGATTTTTGAAAAATTATGGGCTGAGCCCAGGCACCCGAAAAATCCTGGCGCCGCCACTACATCACATGTATTAATTTTATAAAGAACATTATGACTTGTCAAAAGCAAAGTTAAAAACATAATTAAAAATATCTTCATCATTATACCTATATGTAAATAGAACGAAAAGATAGGAAGAAAGGCGTATCTATTTTTCTGCTCATTTTTCTGTACTCGAACTTTACGGTTGTGTTTCACACATGGCTACTCAAACAGACACATCTTCAGTAATAAATACAAATCGTTTTCCAGTGATAAATACTATTAATACTCCGTCAGATGAGAATGATTTAAGAACAAGACTTTCAACAGCAGAATCTATCTGGGTTGCCATTAAAAATGAAGCACGTGAGTTGTGTACGTTCCACCCAAAAGAATGGCTCGATGGTCTGAAGCCAAATAAGCACTATCCACTATTTACGAGAGGAGATATCGATGGATTTGTAGCATTGTTTATCAATAATTTGGCGACATTACTGGCCGTTATTGGAAATCTGCTACCAATATTAGGAAACGACATTGTTTATGGAAGAATTGTGCCAGGGTAAGTTTCTTTAGATAAAAATGCACATGTAATGGAATTGTGTTCACTCAAAATTTAAAATCGTATCAGTGGTCTACTCTTAGTCTTAATACTGCTCATACGATAGATACCGGCCACTCGTCAATCTTTAGATGGAAATGTTTTTTGATTTAGACTGTTGAAAATAGTTCAAAAACAGATAGTTTTTGTAAACTAATTATGTTTCGTGACCACTCTTTGTCTTTTCTGTTGTATATACTGGTCGATTGAATAAAAGAATGCTTTCATCTTTTCTTTTGCCGTTGATCGAATATCGATAGCACCTGTGATGATACAAACAGCTGATAAGATGAGTCTGAACACAAATGTACGCTCATATGTAACAGTCTTTTCTTCTTTGAACGAACACACGTAGATATATATTTCTTTTCACTGCAAATTCGAGAAGATCACATAGTGACTTTTTCTCATATAGAGCACTTCGGGGTAAATAGAGGTACTCTTCGAAAGTTTCGTCCTTTTTTTGCTATTTCCTGGCCGTTTTTGATCGGAAAAAGTTGCTATTGAACATAATGGTAGACCAAACATTTTTCTACACGCTCATGTAAAAATCTTTTCAAAAACTCCGGCCAATTTTGAGCCAGATCCAAAATGCGAAGAGCTCCATCAAAGTACTTCATTTATACGCTTGGGGTAAATAGAGGCACTCCATTCAAATACATGGAGTTTTAATGTACAATTGCTGGTTAATTAAGCTTAGGAGATAATTAATTCAAAAATACCTCATTTTGTAGCTCAGATCTTCCTCTCTCTACCATATAGTTTTGAGCTCATTATCATTTAAACTCATTAAGCTAATTAGCATATAATCAACAGCACTGGAATTTTTCTTTTTTTCTTTTTATGCTTTGGAGTAAATAGAGGCACTCCACTGAAATACACGGAATGGTCAGAGACAAACCTTTACCGACTCTCAGAAGCCGAATTTAGTATTAGGCCAAGTGGCAAAGTTCTTCAGACTGCTGAACTCTATCACATATGTGAAAATTAGCTGATTATTCCAGTGGATAAGCTATCAAACTGGCTTCACACTATGTACGATATTAATTTGAATATATTTTATGGGCTAAATTAATTTTAAAATTAATTATGACACCTAGAGACAAAAACTTTTGATAAAATCTTCTGTCTATAGCGTACAGAAGCACCTCCTCTATCAAATGCAAAAACAATCATCTAAAAATTATGAGGACTACGCAAGATAACACCAAATTATCCGATATATGTCTCCTCTGAATGAAACATACAATACGATATGAAAATATACTTTACAGGATAAAGTCGCGTACATTACGACTATTTTTAATGTCTGAAGTTGATATTTCAGGCTAAACAAAAAAGAAATAGCAAAAAGAAACTTAGTGAAGAAACGTAGTGCTTCTATTTACCCTGAAGTACTCTATTTCTGTTCTGATATAATCTGTTCCTAAGTTCTGCTTTTTTGATTCTGTTTAGGCTAATAAAGAACAGTTTTTGTCAACAAAAAAAAACTACTGCGGTGATGATAAAAAATAAAGCAAGAATAAAATTCATACCATCTAAAAGAATTTGTGAACAAAATATTGAGAGAAGCTATTATTTGGAAAAATAGTAGGCTCTAATCGGTAGATTTTTGAAACAAAACTCTACTAAGCATTTTGTCTCTCAGAAAAAGGCTATATATCGAATAGTCTCAGAGAAAACCGAATTTGATCGTCATACAAAAAAAGTAGATCGGCACATGCTTTTAGACCGGGTCTTCTGCCAGTCTGAAAAATTTAGGCCGGTTCGTTCTATGCGTCATGCTTTTACGGTTACACTATCATACATCTCATCAGAGTTGGAACCGGACCGGTCCGGTCCGGTTGAACTTTTCACCCGGCCGGTTAACACCGGTTTTTTTACCAGTTTAACTACACTTCAACGGACCGGTTGCTGTCGGTTTCGAATCACAAGCGAAAGATGACTACTGTATAACTAGGTGAATAAGTTCTGTTAATGAGTGACAAGCAACCGACTAAATCAGTCGTATGTAAAGAATATCATTTACGTAGTTTTTTGTCTTTTAGATTTACTGTGCTAGAAATTGCTGTATCCCTCTTTTTCGGTTGAATATTTCGATATCAGAAGACACAGTTATACAAACTGATTTCTTTTCTGTTTAGTGTTGGTATTGCGATGTTCTGGGGCAATATATACTATGTATATATGGCACGTAAATTAGCTCGTAAAGAAAATCGAAATGATGTATGTGCACAACCGTACGGAATCAATACTCCGGGAGCATTTGCATTCGTTTTCAGTATCATTTTCCCCACGTATCATGGATGTGCTCAAATAAATTCGGCAGCTTATTGTCGGGAATTGGCGTGGTACGTGGCTTTAGCAAGTAATTTTATCACGGGATGTATTCTTCTGTTACTATGCGTTGTTGGGGAACATATTCGAAGACACACACCCGCTGTAGCACTATTGTCGTCAATCTCCGGTATCGGATTTACATATTTGGCGTTAAACGAATATATAGGTAAGTAAAAGTTGAATATAGTATAAAAAAATCATTTATTTATAATGATAATTTAGATGTTGCGGATGTGCCTATTGTTGCTTTTATTCCATTTGCTATTGTGATGCTGGGTTATTTTGGTAATATTAAATTTGGTCCTATACCCGTCGCCTTTGTTGCTCTTGTAGCTGGCACAGCTTTAGGGTGGGCTACTGGAACGAATACACGTCAACCTGTTATCGACGCAAGTCATTTAGTAAAAGGATATGCTCCTGTATTTCCTATTGGCGAAATGTTTCGAAATATGAAACATATTGGACCGTATTTATCGACAACAATACCAACAGCAATATCGATTGCTATTGGAACAATACAATGTGTTGAGTCAGCAAAACGGGCGGGAGATTTCTATCCAACAAGAGAATCAATGTTAGCTGATGGAGGTAAAAAAATAAACATTTTTTCTAAAGAATATAATTTATTTTGTTATTACTTCAGTTGGAACTTTAATAGCGTCAATATTCGGCTCAATACTTGGAATGACAGGTTATTTACCAGAGATAAACGTTTATTCAAATAAATGCATTTTATTTTTTCCTTCTAGCATTTATTGGTCATCCCGCATTTAAAAAAATGGGAGCTAGACAAGGTTATTCTTTATTAAATGCCTTTGCTTTTTTACCACTCTGTTTTCTTGGTTTAATCGCTCTCCTTCTGTCAATTATTGCCATTGTTTCGATTAATCCTATTATTATTTTCATTGGTCTTGTCATCTGTTCTGATACACTGGCTATTACACCTCGTCGTCATTATGTAAGTCCGATGTTTATTGGTAATAGTTCACATTCTATTTGATTACTTTAGCCTGCTTTTCTCCTTGGCCTCATGCCGGTGGTTGCCGATTGGGCTAAAGGAACGATTATAAGCGGAGTAACAAGTTCATATGAATCAACGACAAATATGACATTCAGCGACAGTATTCTAGACTCTATTAAGGGTTATAGATATCATGGTTTAGTGAATTTTGGTGGTGGAGCTTTATTAAATTGTATATTCATCGCAGCTATTCTCATGTACATTATTGATCGAAAATTTGTTCGCGCTACTGTATGGAGTTTGTTAGCTGCTGTTTTTTCATTTTTTGGTTTGATTAATGCAAACAGTGTAGGATTATTGTATCGAAAAACAGATTATGGTTGGAAATTTACTGTAGCTTATACAATGCTGGCTGTTTTATTTTGTACCTTTGAACTTTTGCAACGTTGGCGATGGGTTGATCAACCTGAGGAAGAACCCGATGATTTATCATCGCTGGAATGGGCTGAATGGAATAGAAGAGAATTATTAAGACAACAAGAAGGACCAAGTATCGATAAAGATACGAGAATGGATCAAATTAATTTAAGCACTAATGGAAGATCACGAGTTTAAAATTTAAATATTAGCTAAACGATGAAAAAAATATTGTAGTTAGTGTTATTCTTTCTCATTGAAATTTGATATTTATTTTTTACTCATTGTTAATTGTTCAGTATAGTGCAATATTTTTCTTAATAAGTTTGTTTCTTGTCCTTATAAGGTGCCAGTAATTCAAAATTTTCGCACCAGTTTATTTTTCATTTATTTACATATGACTGGATAGAACAAATCTTTTGCCTATTATTTCTATTATTGAGTGGTCACTTCAAAATACTTCTGTTAAGCAACATTTCATTCAAACAAGTGCGACAAACTGAACAAAAAAATATATTTGAGCCATCTAAAGTCACTGAAGTTCCAGTGGGAAAAAAGTTATCTTTTAAACCTTTTCCAATTTTTCAAGTTAACATTTTCTATTTAAACCGTTGTTATGAATCATTAAAAAGAACGCACATTCATTCTTCACAATCCTAACTAGAAAAAAGTTTAGTTATAAACACCACTACGTAGTTAAAGTTAACCTGTAAAATAAGTGAGTCTAGTAAAGTGAGTCTAGTTTTGAAATTAAATTCAAAATTTTGACTATTTAAAACTATTTTTGGAAGAGTAATAAACGGTGTATTTCTGATCAGTTCACAAAACTGAATCGAATAATATGTTACGCGATATACTTATTTCTCATCTAAAAAGTCGTCTATAGGTACCTTTATACAGAAATTCATTAAAAAATTGAGTTATTCTACTACGTCTCATTTCATTTCGACGACGTCTTTTTTGTGAAACTTCTTCAGTATTTTCAAAGGAGAAGAAATTGAAGTTTTATGCTCAAAAAGCCTTAATTTTGACCTATTTTTTAACCTTCCCCTCTCCTCCGAGTGTATTCATCTTAACAGAGTGGTGTATCCGTCTTGAAAGGGTAGTGTATTCATCTTAAAAGATAGCTGCAATTTTCATTGCTCTATATTAGTGTACACTATTCCCAATACCATCTTTCGACTAATGTAGAGGAGTTTCACCATTTTAGCCCCACAAGGGACTGCCCTAACAAGATTTTCTAAATTAGAAGTACATGGAAATATTCTGATGCGAAAGTTTTGACAGAAAAATCTTGGTCTTCCAGCAATAGTGTGGTAGTACTAAATTTACTGCTCGGTATGTACCGGTTATTTCTACTCGTCTTTTGGAGCATTTAGAAAGTTGTTATATAACGGCTATTAAGAATTGTTCCCAGCTGTAGAGCGTCTCATTTTATAGAGAATTGTTTGGGGGAAAAACAAAGTTTTTATTCTACTGTAACATAAATAGGAGCTGTCTAGAATACAATAATTGTACATGATAACTGGTCACCAATTACATAACTGTTCGTGTCTCTTAAATAATTCGTTAATAGACTCTCTCTTTTATTTTTAATTTGGGAAAATGTGTTTTGATCACCAAATTTCTTTCTATCGATCTATCGAAATGATCACAAAATCGATTAAAGAAAATTTAAATTAAAGAAAATATATAAGAAGAGCATATAGCAATTAATGAGTAGACAGGCAAGAAAAAGAATGTAAAGAAAAATACAAGGAGAAATATGGGCCGAACAGAAGCTTAATTTCAATGGTTGAAGAAAAGCTGCTGAGCCGTGTGGTGGAAGGAGGAGGGGAGGCAGTGGGTAGTGAGAGTGAGTAGACAAATAGGATTCGTCACGCTACTAACATGTGAGGGAATTGATGTAATCTAATCGGAGGAAACTATTTATGTAAAACTCGTTATATATATGTATCTAAAAACCATAAAAAGTTCTCATTGTTCTGTCGGTTAGACGTCATATGAAATCTTATCGTTAAAGAGCAAAAAAAGAAAAGAAAAAATGCTATGTGCTCCGAACTGTCGTTGATGTTAATTAATGGATGTAGTATTTTACATAATGTCCCGTTAGTCTTAAACAAGGATAAAATCAGAAAAGATCTCGGGAAAATATCAGTTAAGCATATCTGCATAAAAGATCTCGAAAAATTTTATTTATTTTTTTTATTCTGCAGAAAAGATCTCTTAATAATTAATTAATTAATAAATAGGAAAAGCTCTTACACCCTCATAGATTATACCTTTCAAACAGTGCAGTCTTTGGCAAAACGATTCTTCAATGCAAAACTTTTTGCAACACTTACAAGAATATAGCACAAATAAAAAAAAAGAGAACAAGCTCATTTTTCTAGTCCTGTTGTAATGCTAATTTTATTTTTTTTTAGACGTCCTTTTCCTCTACGTTTAAAAATAAGTTGTGAGACAAGCATTGTACCCCACATCATCCTTAAACCAATTGCATATATACATGAGTACTCTTTGAGATCATATCTACACGAACAAAACCATGGTGGTGCCCTTCTAGACTATCCATTATTCCGGAATCTTTTCTGCAGAATAAAAAAATAAATAAAATTTTCCAAGATCTTTTATGCAGATATGCTTAATTGACATTTTCTCGAGATCTTTTCTGTCGTTATTTCCTTCCGAGATCCATTCTGCTAATTTACCGAGATCGTTTCTGATTTTATTCATATTTCTTCATGTTCAGTTGTATATTAACGAATTAAACTTTCTTTATATTCTTTTTCTTATCTGCCTACTCATTAATTGGTAATAATTACTAATTGATTGCTATATATTCTTCTTGTATATATTTTCGTTAATTGATTTGGTAATCAAAAGTGTTACCCTATAAAAAAAATTCTAGTGTGGCACCGCCTCGGCACTTCTCTTATGAGAAGGAAAAGATGAAGTCAAAAAGACATTCGAAATATCAGAAGTAGAGTGCGGTGTTAATTGACGAAACAAAATGGTGACTGAAAACAAAACTTCGGCACTGGTGCGCACCAGTGCGAGATTTTTACATTCTTTGTGGCACCGATGCGCATCGGTGCCCAGAAAAAAAATTATTCGGCAACGGTGCGCACCCGTGCACAACCAGTGCCGATAAAATATTTTTTTGTAGGGATATTTTTTGATGATCATTTCGATAGAAAGAAATTTGGTGATCAAAAAAATACATACTCTTTTTTAAGTCGACTGATATTTCTCTTCTCTCTTTTATTCTTTAATTTTTTTTGTCTAATGCAGACAGATAAACCAAACATTTCTCTACAAAATGAGACAACATTTTGTAGCTAGGAACAAACCAACGGGAATAAGAGGGAATTAGTTAGAACAGACATATATCATTACAAATGTATAGATTAACAATACCAAATTGAAACTGAATGCTGATTTTAACATATATACTATAACCAGGAAATATCAGCTCGTAAAAGTGAACGTTCATAAATCGATTTTCCTATTTCATTTATAATGAATGATTCTTATAATTCCAGTTAACTGGATCTGATACATACCTAAACATTATATAGTAAAACTTTTTCATATTGATTGTTATCAGCGGAAATGTTGAAAATAAATAAATAAATTTTAAAAATAATTTTTTATCCTTTTTATTGCATTTTCTCAGTTAACAAATCAACGTGCATACATCTATAGGTAGTCTTACCAAAATCAAAGGAAACTTATGCAGTTTTTTAGTGCAGAATGCAGTTTTTTTCGTATCATAACTTATAAACTAAAAACGGTTGTCAGTATATTCTTGTTTTACGAAATTATATGTTCACAATCTGTTTGTTTTTGTGCGAATTTTTATCCACCATTGATTCTCTATATACATCTAGAAAAGTAAAAAAAGACTTATAATAATGTCAGAATTATTCACATTGATTTACCCGATGTATTGTAACTAAAAGTTTATCAATTTTAACTGTAAAATCTTGTATATGATCATACAATTGACTACCATCTAATGACATCCAATTTTCTACCGATTCTTTATGTATAAATCGATTCAAACCTAAAATAACTCACATACATTAAAAACAAAAATTATTTAAAATAGACATTGTTACCTGTTGATTTTTTGAATTTATTAATCATAAATGAGATAATTTTATATTCACTTGGCTGATTTTCTATATCTTGATTAACTTTCTGGAATTTATCGGTAATAATCGATACAAACATGTTTATAATGATAAATACGACAAAAATAATATATAGTGAAAAACTAAATGGACCAAGAATTGGATGTACCCTCGTTATATCGCTAACATCAAATTTCAGCAACATCATTTCAAATAACATTTGAGCTGTTCGTAGAGTGTCTGAACATTCAAGTAATTGTGTAGAAAATAGCAAAAAAAATAAACAAACAAATGCTACAAAGATAAGAGAAAACATTAATCCAAATAAAACTAGATCTTTGGTGGCCAATCGTAATGTTCGTCCTAATACTGATATTCGATAACTAAATCTCAGTAAACGTAATAGTTTTAATGTGACAAAGAACGAACAAAATGCAAGAAAAATAGCTAAATAATCATGGAGTTGACTGGCGATTTGTAGACTAATCACTTTATAACCATTTGTTTGATGAAACAATGTTAAAATACGATTTTGCTCAAAAGCTCGTGCTATGTATAGTCCAAATGATGCCCATGCACACACAACAACTCCCCATTCAATATATGACCAAAATTCTTTGAAATAAGCTTGTTTTAATTTAATCATTAAACATATTTCTACTATCATATAGTAGATAACAAACATCATAAATAAAATAAAACAGAACAATTGAAATAGACCATAACCTGCAATTATTAAAAATAATAAAATAGATAAAAAAATACAAAAAAAAACTTAACGTACCTTGGGTGTAATTGACCAATAAATCGAATGGTTCAAAATATGTATTTGGAAAAACACCACTTGATGGTAATACTTCAATGAGTAATGTAATAAATACGAACAAATTGACATTTGGATTATACATATTAAACTGAATGAGAATAGCTCGAGTTTGACTATCAATCCATGAGAGTTCTTTCAATATTGTTAAATTATTAATAATTTCTGACATTCGACCGCGAAATTCATAAATATATCCACCACTATATAAAGAATAGATTGTGATATAGTTATAA